GTCCTTGGGCACGTCTCATCTCTCTTGCAACACTTCCCCGTCTAATTTTCCACCTGACGTTTGGCCAAAATTGAATTTGGCATCAAGGTATGCCTTCTTCTTCTCAATAAGCCTGTAGGCCTTCTTGATTGACTTAAGAGCCCAGCCTTCCTTATTACAGCAATCAGTTTGACGTTCACTTCCTGGAACTGGTTGCAGAGTTGGTATAGTTCCCAGAGTTGGTATAGTTCCCAGAGTTGGTATAGATCTTGGCTAGGTCTAGCAAAGATCTCTCCTTTAAAGACTTTGTATTTTTCTGAGGACAGGTGTTTCTCTAAGGCAGAATGCCTTTGAAAAACTCTCACGCATCCGTCTTGGGGACAGGCAAATGCTGCTGTTTCATCATCAGCAATCTTTTCATGCGTCTTAGAGACTTCAGGTTTCTCTGTAGCCTCTGACTCCGTCTGCGTGGGCTGCTTTTTGCTGAGCGAGTTAAAACCACCTGCGGAAAATGTTGACCCCATCCAGCGATAACTACACTCTGTGAATAGAATGATGTGGTCATCAAAAGATTCCGTAAAGAAGACGTTGTTAAATCGTGGTAATTTTTTTATGCGATTTTTCAAAGAAAACTCGGTACGACACAGACCCTGCATGTAAAAAAAAAAAATTGCTATGTTATTGTAAATTGAGTAAAGTGAGACTGGCTAACGGATCTGACCGACAGGAAAAAAAGGAGAAACGGTAAGTGGGAAGGAAGCGATCAATTAACAAAGACATGATCGACGAGAGAAAGAAGAATCGATGGATGCACGGTCAGACGGTCGCGCCGGACACACCCATGAACACGGGTGTGGTCGAGTATGGGCGGAAAACTTGCGCGCGGACAGGTGGCAAAGGAGATTGCAACATATCAAATATATGCTACTTGTCAACACTGTATGTAGCTCACTAGCAATTACCGGAAGATTGCTTCTCTAATCTGGTATCTTTCCCACTCCCGATTCCATAGGCACGCCAAGCTGTAATACTTTTGGGGTTGAACTTAAAATTGTTGAACTTGCTGATTGATACCGGGAATCTTCCTTGCATAATCAATGACGAAATCCTCCATGCTGTCAATTGCAACTACTCTCACTCCTTCGATGTATCCGTGGGAAAGAAGAGCTTCTTGGAACTGACTTCCTGTACACACCTCGTTGCCTTCGTTTATGCAGACCCTTAAGTGGTCTTTACATTTTGCCTCAAGTCTGTCTGCGGCACCTTTACCTCCCTGCGGGTCAGAAAAGTCAATTCCTATAACCTGGACACCAGTAGATTCTGCAATGGCTAGACACGCTAGGATCGTAAATGATAGATGATAGCAACCGGCGTAGTCGTGCCTGTAATATGCCTTCGTTATTTCCCCGTGTTGCAGCTTTAGGGTGTTCAGAACATCCTCCATGATAGCCACAACTTCACGACTTCTTTGACTTCACGGCTGGATTACATGGATGAATCCCTGCCATTCAAGAAGGCCATTTACCCGACGATAGATTCTCACACAAATAATTCTCGGAAAATTCTTTAAAAAATGTGATGACAGTTTCCTCGACGGATTTTTATATTGTTCTTTCATCCAAGATTTTTAAAGCAGAAATAATAGAATTTGAGGCGATTCTTCATTGACCTGAACAGGTCAATAAACTTGATAAATTGTATACGTTGTCTATACCATGAATGCTGTGAATGATCCAAACAGTTTTCTTTTTCTTTATTTAAGCACGAAGATTTTTGTGTATATTTGATAAGAAGCAACTCAACACATCATTAATTTAAGTGTAGCCAACACTGTGACTGTATTCGAAATGTTCTGAAGTTTATAAATCCCATCAGCTGTGTTAACATGTGTTAAGAGACACGCTGGCACTTAAAACGGGATTAAGAAAGATCAGAAGATTGAAAACTACCTTGCTTTACATTCACAGCTTCACAGAAGAAACATAACGATGCTGACGCCGTTTGATGATCATTTAATTTTTTCTGTGTATTTTCGACAAACTGACTCTATAATTAGCTTGAAATGAACATCGAATTCTGCACGCTTGCACACAGGCAGCCCAAGCTCACTACTAAAAAAACCGACGTGACTCTTACCGTGTTGCGCAA